CCCGGAGCCCTTCCCCGGTACCTTGTGCCGCCGGCGGCCGCTCTCCAGGGCCGCCTCCGTGTCCATGGAGCAGTCGGAGCCCGACTCGGCCCCGCTGCCGCTGCCGCACCGCGTGGCCTCGGGCATCGCCGCCGCTCCGCCACGCCGCGCTCCGCACCCGCCGCGCGCCAGCCGCGCCTCACGCTCCGAGCGGCCGCCGCGCCCACAGCCAATCGCCGGCCGATCCGGCGGCGCGGGGGCGGGGCCTCTCCACCCGACAGCCAATCGCCCGCCGCCCCCTCGGCGGGACCACAATTCCCGACGTGCCCCGGGGGACAACGGGCGGACTCCAAGCCCCGGCGGCCCCCGCGCGCCCTGAGGGCGCGGCCGCCATGACGGGCCGCCATGAGGACTCGGCCCGGCTCCTGCGGTCCTTCCAGCGCCGCCTCACAGACCCCGCCTGCAACCCCGTGACTTTTAGTGTCCGTAACTACCGCAGACTCGTGTTCGGTAGCGAAGAGCCTAACGTAGGGAACGGCAGAATGACACCAAATGCCTCTAAGACTTAAAAGGACCACACACCTGTGGTGATCAGCAGCATGAGCTGATGATGACCAGACCACAGTCTGATCGTACCTACAGGGAAAAATCGGGTTTTAGAAGTCAAAATGAGTCTTACGAGCTGTGGAGGGATCCTGCCGGCCGCCAGGGTATCGATTTCTCAAGGAAAGAGGTGTTCGGGAGCAGAGCAGGGCTTCTCCCAAAGCAATGCCATTGACCCGCCCTGTTGTCTCCTGCACCAGCACGTTTTCATTTGCAAAGACCAAATCCTGCTTGCCAGAAACAAACACACCAAGTAGATCGAGGAGCACAGCTGAGAGCTCTGCAGGATGCAGTGGGAGAACCTTGGGATTGCAGGAATTTTTGTAGTAACCAGGTGCGTGTCTAATTCGTTTGCTTTGCTTCCTGGCAGGGAAGATGAAGTGTGCTCTCATTCCTGTGCCACAAGTAGGAAACCCATTCCGGAATTATAGTGTAAAACAGCCCTGTCCAACTGCAGTTCCTACTAGAGCAACACAAACCCTTTCCATGTCAGTTGTGTGGTCTGAATGAAGGATGCCAGTTCTCATTTTTATTATCACAGGGACACAAAGAATAATTAAAGGCGAGTGCAAACAAAATGCACAGGAGCTTTCCAAATACTATGGTCAAAAGTCTAAACTAACAGCTTTGATTTAGAGACTGATGTGACTGACTGCATTTACAGGATGGTTACCTTGTTACAGAGGGAAACTTTACAAAGCTCATTAAAAAAGAATCATGTATTCATGACCAGGGTTAGATGTAGCGGGGAATTTTGTTGCAATTGTCCTTCCGCTCGTCCTCCTCTTCACGTTATTATTTATGCTTTTAGAATTTTGCAGGAAGCTTCATCTTCTTTTCAGTCCATCTAAAATAATAGAATTATTAGAGGTCAGACCACATTCCAGGAACTGAGTTGGCCTAGCTTCTGGTGCCACAGGTGGCATCAGTACAAACAGTCAAAATGACCCTCTGAAATATATTTTTGTAAAGATTTCAAGTTTTACTCATGTATTACTCATGTCCAAGTAGTATACAGGGAGTGTGTTTGAAAGAGTGCACAGCCAAAAGGTGCTTAAGGGAAAATTTAAAAATCAGCAGAATTTCCTTAGAAACTGTAGTATGTGATTTGTTTCTTCAAATACTGGCTTTTTAAGGTGACAGTACACATCTAATGAAGACTCAAAGGGTTTAAATAAATACCAGTCATTAAAGATATTAATATGTGTTGCTATTAAAAAAATTGATGTGATTTTTGCCCTCAGCAGTTTTTAACGTATGTTCTAGCCAACTTAGTTAACAGTTTTGTAGGCCTTCTCCACATACAACTCTATAAAAAAATTGTTTCATACCAACTTGCTTTCCATTAAGGGATTTTTCAAGCACAGTTACAGGCCAAATGTACACTGTGAAAGGAAGCAGAAGCTTGTAGCTCAGGCAGTGTACACATTCTTCTGTCAATTGTGAGCAAGTCAAATGGTGTTTTCTACTTTAAATTTGGATTAGACACCTCTCTCTATACAGCATCTTTTATTCTTCATCTACAGCTGCAGAAACTGTAACAGTATCTGCAATGTAATTTGGCAACATCTATGTGAGCTGAACCTGCCTTCTAGCAGGAGTTTATCAAACACTGTGTTTAACACCAAGTTTATCACTGTTTCTTAACGTCTCTGCCCTTGGCCATCTCCACCTGCAAGGCAGAGCTCATACTGTTTTCTTGCCTCATGCAAACTATAAACAGCAGCATTTGTCTAACTGATATAGGGAGAATGTCCTTGTAAAAAACTGTACAGTTTGACTATTTCTGGGTCATAACACTGAAGTTATCAAAGATAATAAGAATTTTGTTGTTGGGGAAGGGGGGGGTTGTGATTTACAGCAACATTTCTGCCCAGATCTGATGGTCAATTTGAAGATAAACCAAACTTAGTTACGTGTGTTTTCTTACCTCGGGGAGTCAATTCCACTGTCTCCTGTAATGCTGGGGCTTTCTGTCCCTTCTGAGTGTTTCTGTCCTGAGATCACAGAACATGTGTTCTTACAAATCAGCTCTTTTTTTCCCAGAGGGTTTCCCATTTCTTTGCTCTGGGAGCCCAAAGCACAGCATGACACTCCTCCTCCTCCTCCTCCTCCTCGTCCCACCTCAGGGGGGAAGTTGTGCCCGGTGTCAGCATCTGAGTGAGCCTCGGCAGCGAGGCAGGAACCTGCCACAGCTGGGGCCTTCCCACCCTCAGGGAGGCCTGTTCCTTCAGCCTTTCTGTGACCTCTCGGAAGAACCTGACTGCACAACCAGCTTTCTTCTGTGAAGTCTGGTTTGGGGTGCTCTTTGAAGCCATCTGTTGACTCTGCGAAGCTACCGCTTCCCTTGCATCCATGCTCTCCGGAGTCACACTTATTAACAGTTGTGTTGTACTGGGTGGGACAGTTAGTAGCCTTCCGGGATTTTAGGGACACAGCTGCACTCCAGTCTCTTGTGTCTGGAAAGGCATGGCCAGGAGGCAAGGGATGGCATGGCTCACGGCCCTCAGAACTGTCATCCAGACATAACAGGTTACAGGTGTCCCCATCGTGCCCTTTTTGGTTCTGAAGGAGGCAGTTGTCAGTAAATCCCTCACTTTCCAGATTCATTGCCCCGTGATGGCTGGCACAGTCATAGTTAAATATAAACTCACTCTTTTTATCAGTCTTTTTTCTGTATTTCACACCATTTTTTTTGACCAGGTTAACATTGGCTGTATAATTTGAAAGATGGACATTTTGAAATTCATTTGCTGTTTGATCTAATAACTCACCTACAGTGTCAGCTTTGCCTCTGCAACGCTCATCTTTCAGACAGAATGAAAGCTTTGTGGCTTCTTTGCACACACCACTATGTTCAGTGGACTTTTTAATATCCCCAGGACTTTTTTTTAACGTTCTTCCATAGGTGTTTCCTTCAGAACTATTACTCTCCAGAAAGTGTTTACTTTTATTGTCTATTTGCAGATTACTGCCTTGCAGACAGCTACAGTTTTCACTTAAGCTGTCTTTCTGGAGTTGGAGGCAGGACCTGTGAGCCCGGGGTGGGTGGTTTTGCTTAGCTCTGTCAGCCAGCTGCTCGGTTTTGTAGCCAGGGGGTTTCCAGGAGGCTGAGGGCTGTGGCCTGTGTGAAGCCTTTCCTTGCCCCCTTGCCCGGCTCTTCAGGTGGCTGCTGACACCTCGGTACCCCCGCGCGTAGAAGCTGCGTCTCCACGGCAGAGCCGGGAAAGGATTCGTAATCTGCTTTTTATAGAACACAGGGGACTGCACTGCTGCAGCAGGGGGCTCTTGGTTCCTGACAGACGGTGAAAGGCTCTCTTCCACTTCCACATTTGGGGATGTCAGCTCCTGTATGGGGGATTTCCTGCTGCTTCTGCTGATCTGCTTCTCTTTCTTTGATTTGGTTTTCCTGGTGCGTTTTGCTGTTTTACTCTGTGCCTTTTGAACACATTCCTTTGAAAGATGGTTTTGCCTGGCTACTGACACTTCAGCTGAGGTGCCATTACCAGTGTATTTTTTCTCTTTCCTGATGTATTTTTTCTGCTCCTCGAGCTTCTGCATTAGTATTGTGTGTTTAATCAAATTATCAACAGTGAGAGTAGGGTTAATACGCTTGATGATTTCATGTTCTATATCACGTGGAATATTGTCCAAGTCATCTTCATCCCTGACTGGCCACTCCCTGGGAGGAAACTGGGCTGAAAAAGTGGAGTACTCCTTCTTGTGTTTTTCTTTTTTGGAAAAACTTCTCCAGAAAAGTCCAAGGCCAAACCTTTTGCTTTTCAGTTTTGCTTTCACAGATGTCAGGGATTTGATGGTGTCCCAGGAATGATTTTCAGCAGATGTGCAGATCTCTTGAGTTTCAATTGAAGGCTTCAATTCACTGCAGTCTTTCTTTCCCTCTCCCTTAGGTTCATGGTTCACTAGCTGCCAATGTCTTTGTTCACAGAGCATATTTTGGACAGGGAAACAACGGCAGGATCTGTAACAGGATGCTGTAGGAATGTTTTCTTTCACTAGGTTTGCACAGTGCTTAATGTTTACCAGGTAAGTGATGGAAGGTGATGAACAGCAACAACTGTCCTCCAACAGGACCCTTCTGTTGTCTTCTGTGGTCTTATTGGTGATAAAGTATGTGCTGGGAGTCACAATGAAGTATCCTTCTCCCGTATGATAGATCTTCCTTTCCTTAATTAGAGTGCCAGGGATATTATATAAGATACTGTGGGAGGGAACTGCAATGCCTACAACGAAGAGACAGATATTTCAAAGCAGAAATAAGCTTTCAAATAAATCGGGTGCTGGCCAAAAAATAACTTACATACAACAGACCTGGAAGGAACTGAACATGGAATACCCAAAGCCTTTAGGGAAAGGTCAGCTGTGTTTCTGGCTGTCACTGCAGCACTTCTGGGAGAGAGCTCAATATGTTCTCCTCAAATAAGCAAGGGTGTTCTCTTTGCATCTGTCAGGGTATGATATTTATGAGAGAGACCTTCTGCCAGGTGCAGAGCAAACAGTGTCTTGTTCAAAGCATTTCCATCCTGGCATGTTATTCAACAATTACTTTTACCACTCTCTCTGAAGCTTCTGGTATAATTTGGTCCATAACAATTTATTGCCTCACTGAGACTGGTCTCAGCTACTGGTTTTCCATCAGGTGTCACAGTCTCAGAGTCCTTAGTCTAGTCACAGCTGATCTCCTGCCACGGGAATAAAAACTTCCAGCAAGGTGAAAATACAGCAAGAAATACATGAAGTCCCTACAAACTTTGAGAGTGCTACTGCTGGGTGACCTAAAAATGCTACCTTGTGCTTGTCTCAGTGCACATGTGGACTACATCATGTTCCTGGCAGGGGTCTGGACCAATTTGTGGGGTTGCATTGACATTTTTCTCACTGGTATGAATGCCTAGCAGATCAGCCTGTAACATTTACAGAGTTGTAAGGTTAAGAGGACTCAAAAGAAGCAGCTCAGTATCTAACAAAGGAGCCTCCTGAGAGGGCCATACTGAGCCTTTACAAAGTCTCACCTACAATAACACTTCAATATTGCAGACCTGAGGGAAACTGAACATTTTTCAGATGTAAAGAAAATGGAGTATTTAAGGGAAGTGGCTGCTACCCCATCAGAAGAAAGGGACCAAAGCTCATTTATTGGAAGTAATTTGCTTTCAAGAAGGAAGGAGCTGGAATTTGACCAACAACCCCAAATTCGAGGCTGATTATATTTTTTGGTAGCAAACACCTACCCAGTCCCTTGCAGTCAAAGTCAGCTGTGTTCCTGTCTCCCAAAGGAGGACTTGGAGTCTCTGGGATCTGACACACAGTCTA